GGGTTTTTTGAGGGAATAAATTGAATTTAAAGGGGTTTTTTGGGGGAATAAATTGAATTTAAAGGGGTTTTTTTGGGGATAAATTGAATTTAAAGGGATTTTTGGGGGAATAAATTGAATTTAAAGGGGTTTTTTGGGGGGTTTGGGTAAAAAAAATGGGATTTTTGGGAAAAAAAATGGGATTTTTGGGAAAAAAAATGGGATTTTTTGAGGGAAAAATGGGATTTTTGGGGGAATAAATTGAATTTAAAGGGGTTTTTTGGGGGGTTTGGGGAAAAAAAATGGGATTTTTGGGCAAAAAAAATGGGGTTTTTTGAGGGAAAAATGGGATTTTTGGGAGAATAAATTGAATTTAAAGGGATTTTTTGGGGATACATTGAATTTAAAAGGATTTTTTGGGGGGTTTGGGAAAAAAAATGGGATTTTTGAGGGAAAAATTGGATTTTTGGGCAAAAAAAATGGGGTTTTTGGGAAAAAATGGGATTTTTGAGGGAAAAATTGGATTTTTGGGCAAAAAAAATGGGGTTTTTGGGAAAAAAAATGGGATTTTTTGAGGGAAAAATGGGATTTTTGGGCAAAAAAATGGGATTTTTGAGGGGAAAAATGGGATTTTTGGGGGAATAAATTGAATTTAAAGGGATTTTTTGGGGAATAAATTGAATTTAAAGGGGTTTTTTGGGGGTTTGGGACCTGCTGGGCTGAGGGGGGAGGGGAAAAACCCAATAAATTATCCTAAAAAATTCAAAATATTCATTTTTGGGGGAGTTTGGGAAAAAAAAATGGGATTTTTGGGTAAAAATGGGATTTTTTGGTAAAAAAATGGGGGTTTTGGGCAAAAAAAATGGGATTTTTGGGGGGAAAATGGGATTTTTGAGGGAATAAATTGAATTTAAAGGGATTTTTTGGGGGGTTTGGGAAAAAAAAATGGGATTTTTGAGGGAAAAATGGGATTTTTTGAGGGAAAAAATGGGGGTTTTGGGCAAAAAAAAGGGATTTTTGAGGGAAAAATGGGATTTTTTGAGGAAAAAATGGGATTTTTTGAGGGAAAAATGGGATTTTTGAGGGAAAAAATGGGATTTTGGGGTTTTTGGGGATAAATTGAATTTAAAGGGGATTTTTTGGGGAATAAATTGAATTTAAAGGGGTTTTTTTGGGGAATAAATTGAATTTAAAGGGGTTTTTTTGGGGGAATAAATTGAATTTAAAGGGGTTTTTGAGGGAATAAATTGAATATAAAGGGGTTTTTTTGGGGGAATAAATTGAATGTAAAGGGTTTTTTTTGGGGAATAAATTGAATTTAAAGGGGTTTTTTGGGGGGTTTGGGACCCGCTGGGCTGAGGGGGGAGGGGAAAATCCCAATAAATTATCCTAAAAAATTCAAAATATTCATTTTTTTAGGAAATTTGGGAAATTTTGGGGGGGTTGGGGGAAAAAAAATGGGATTTTTGGGCAAAAAAAATGGGGCTTTGGGGGGAATAAATTGAATTTAAAGGGTTTTTTGGGGAATAAATTGAATTTAAAGGGATTTTTTGGGGGGTTTGGGGAAAAAAAATGGGATTTTTGGGAGGAAAAATGGGGTTTTTGGAGGGAAAAATGGAATTTTTTGAGGGAAAAATGGGATTTTTGGGGGAATAAATTGAATTTAAAAGGATTTTTTGGGAGGTTTGGGGAAAAAAATGGGATTTTTGAGGGAAAAATGGGATTTTTGGGGGAATAAATTGAATTTAAAGGGGTTTTTTGGGGATAAATTGAATTTAAAGGGATTTTTTGGGGGGTTTGGGTAAAAAAAATGGGATTTTTGAGGGAAAAATGGGATTTTTGGGGGAATAAATTGAATTTAAAGGGATTTATTGGGGGAATAAATTGAATTTAAAGGGGTTTTTGGGGGAATAAATTGAATTTAAAGGGATTTTTTGGGGGAGTTTGGGGAAAAAAATGGGATTTTTGGGCAAAAAAAATGGGATTTTTGAGGGAAAATGGATTTTTGGGGGTTTTGGGGAATAAATTGAATTTAAAGGATTTTTGGGGAGTTTGGGTAAAAAATGGGATTTTTGAGGGAAAATGGGATTTTTGGGGGAATAAATTGAATTTAAAGGGATTTTTGGGGGGAGTTGGGTAAAAAAAATGGGATTTTTGAGGGGAAAATGGGATTTTTGGGGGAATAAATTGAATTTAAAGGGATTTTTTGGGGGGGTTGGGGAAAAAATGGGATTTTTGGGTAAAAAAATGGGATTTTTGGGGGGATAAATTGAATTTAAAGGGGTTTTTTGAGGGAATAAATTGAATTTAAAGGGATTTTTTGGGGGGTTTGGGTAAAAAAAATGGGATTTTTGGGCAAAAAAAATGGGATTTTGGGGGGAATAAATTGAATTTAAAGGGGTTTTTGGAGGGAATAAATTGAATTTAAAGGGATTTTTTGGGGGGTTTGGGAAAAAATGGATTTTTGAGGGAAAATGGGATTTTTTGAGGGAAAAATTGGGGGTTTTGGGCAAAAAAAAGGGATTTTTGAGGGAAAAATGGGATTTTTTGAGGAAAAAATGGGATTTTTTGAGGGAAAAATGGGATTTTTGAGGGAAAAAATGGGATTTTTGGGGGTTTTTGGGGGATAAATTGAATTTAAAGGGGATTTTTTGGGGAATAAATTGAATTTAAAGGGGTTTTTTTGGGGAATAAATTGAATTTAAAGGGTTTTTTGGGGAATAAATTGAATTTAAAGGGGTTTTTGAGGGAATAAATTGAATATAAAGGGGTTTTTTTGGGGGAATAAATTGAATGTAAAGGGTTTTTTTTGGGGAATAAATTGAATTTAAAGGGATTTTTGGGGGGGTTTGGGTAAAAAATGGGATTTTTGAGGGAAAAATGGGATTTTTGAGGGGAAAATGGGATTTTTTGAGGGGAAAAATGGGATTTTTGGGTAAAAAAATGGGATTTTTTGAGGGGAAAAATGGGATTTTTGAGGGGTTTTTGGGGGGATAAATTGAATTTAAAGGGGTTTTTTGGGGGAAAAATGGGATTTTTGGGGGAATAAATTGAATTTAAAGGGATTTTTGGGGGGGTTTGGGACCCGCTGGGCTGAGGGGGGAGGGGAAAATCCCAATAAATTATCCTAAAAAATTCAAAATATTCATTTTTTGGGGGGTTTGGGAAAAAAAATGGGATTTTTGGGAAAAAAATGGGATTTTTGGGTAAAAATAATGGGGTTTTTTGAGGGAAAAATGGGATTTTTTGGGGAATAAATTGAATTTAAAGGGGTTTTTTGAGGGAATAAATTGAATTTAAAGAGGTTTTTTTGGGGGATAAATTGAATTTAAAGGGGTTTTTTGGGGGGATAAATTGAATTTAAAGGGGTTTTTGGGGGTTTGGGACCCGCTGGGCTGAGGGGGAGGGAAAATCCCAATAAATTATCCTAAAAAATTCAAAATATTCATTTTTTTAGGAAATTTGGTAAATTTTGGGGGGGTTGGGGGAAAAAAATGGGATTTTTGGGAAAAAAATGGGATTTTTTGAGGGAAAAATGGGATTTTTGGGGGAATAAATTGAATTTAAAGAGGTTTTTTTGGGGATAAATTGAATTTAAAGAGATTTTTGGGGGAATAAATTGAATTTAAAGGGATTTTTGGGGGGAATAAATTGAATTTAAAGGGATTTCTGGGGGAATAAATTGAATTTAAAGGGATTTCTGGGGGAATAAATTGAATTTAAAGGGGTTTTTTGGGGGGTTAGGGGAAAAAAATGGGATTTTTGAGGGAAAAAATGGGATTTTTGGAGGGAAAAATGGGATTTTTTGAGGGAAAAATGGGATTTTTGGGGGAATAAATTGAATTTAAATGGATTTTTGGGGGGGGTTGGGGAAAAAAATGGGATTTTTGAGGGAAAAATGGGATTTTTGAGGGGTTTTTTGGGGAATAAATTGAATTTAAAGGGATTTTTGGGGGATAAATTGAATTTAAAGGGGTTTTTTGGGGAATAAATTGAATTTAAAAGCGATTTTTGGGGGAAAATGGGGGATAAATGGGATTTTTGAGGAATAAATTGAATTTAAAGGGATTTTGGCGGGGGTTGGGGGAAATAAATTAAATTTAAAGGGATTTTGGGGTGGATTTTGGGGGTTTAGGGGGGGATTTTGTGGAAAAATATGGGATTTAAAGGGGTTTGGGGGGGATTTAAAGTGAATTTTGAGGGGAAAAATTTGATAAATTCGGGGGGGATTTGAGGGGAGTTTTGGGGGGATTTAAAGTGGATTTTGAGGAGATTTTGTGGGGGGATTTAAAGGGGATTTTGGGGCGATTTTGGGGGTATTTAAAGGGGATTTTGAGGAGATTTTGAGGGGATTTAAAGGGGTTTTTGAGGAGGTTTTTGGGGCGATTTTGGGGGGATTTAAAGGCAAAATTTGAGGAGGTTTCGGGGATTTGAGGGGGAATTTTGGGGGTTTTGGGGATTTAAAGTGGATTTTTAGGAGATTTTTGGGGCGATTTGGGGGCGATTTTGAGGGGATTTCAGGAGGGTTTGAGGGGAAAAAATTTCTTAATTTCGGAGCGGATTTGAGGGGGGATTTTGGGGGGGATTTTGGGAGTTTTTGGGGGGGGGGGATTTAAAGTGGATTTTTAGGAGATTTTTGGGGCGATTTTGAGGCGATTTGGGGGCGATTTTGAGGGGATTTCAAGAGGGTTTGAGAGGAAAAATTTCTTAATTTCGGAGGGGATTTGAGGGGGAATTTTGGGGAGTTTTGGGGGGGGGGATTTAAAGTGGATTTTTAGGAGATTTTTGGGGCGATTTTGAGGGGATTTCAAGAGGGTTTGAGGGGAAAAAATTCTTAATTTCGGAAGGGGCTTTGAGGGGAATTTTGTCGGTGTTTGGGGATGATTTTGGGAGGGTTTAAAGCGGATTTTTAGGAGATTTTTGGGGCGATTTTGAGGGGATTTCCAGAGGTTTTGAGGGGAAAAGTTTCACAAATTCCGGGGAGAACCTGAGGGACGTTTTGTTATGGGTCGGGGATGACTTTGGGGAGGGTTTAAAAGGATTCGCGGAGGATTCGGCGCCGATTTTGGGGCAATTTCAGGCGATTTTGGGGGTCGTTTTCGCCTCACCCGCCGCTCTTTTTGTCCCCTCACGGCTCCCGTAGCGCCTCAAAATGGCGGCTCCTCCCTCCCCTCACAACTCCGTACAAAATGGCGGCGCCCACAGCATCACGTGACCCTCCCAAAATGGCGCCCTCCATGTGTATTCCCACTCGATAAACCGGGGGCTGTGTGACGTCACTTCCGGACTCTCCCAAGATGGCGGCGCGCAGGATCCTCTGGCTCGGTGAGGTCACAAAAATTGGGGGTTTTTTATTTAATTTGGGGGCGTTTTTTTAATTATTTTAATTTCTCGTAGCTTTGTGGGCGCGGTTGATGAGGTGGGCGTGGTTAATTTAATTTAATTGTGGTTAATTATCCTTTAATTGAATTGAATTCGATTTAATCGCGGGGTTTAATGGCGGGGTGGGCGTGGCTTGCTGAGGGGTGGGCGTGGCTTTATTAACATAACCACGCCCCCTTCTATTTAAACCCAGCCGAGCGTCGCGCGCGCGGGACACGCCCCTTGCCCCGCCCCCCGCAGCGGCTCGGCCAATGGAGAGAGGAGTGAGTAAAAAAGGGGCGGGGTTTGAGGGGAAATGGGCGTGGCTTGAAGGAAAAGGGGCGGGGCTTGAGGGGAAAGGGGCGGGGCTTGGGAGAGGTTTTAAAGGGGATTTTGGGTCAATTTTGGGTCATTTTGGGTCATTTTTGGTAAATTTGAGTCCATTTTTGTGGATTTTGGGTCATTTTGGGTAATTTTGGGTCAATTTTTGGTCATTTTGAGTCCATTTTGGGTCATTTTGGGTCATTTTGGGTCATTTTAGGTCCATTTTGGGTCCATTTTGGGTCATTTTAGGTCAATTTTGGGTCCATTTTGGGTCCTTTTTGGGTCCATTTTTGGTCCATTTTGGGTCATTTTTGTCCATTTTGGGTGAATTTTGGGTCAATTTTGGGTCATTTTGGGTCATTTTGGGTCCATTTTTGATGATTTTGGGTGAATTTTGGGTCATTTTGGGTCCCATTTTTATGAATTTTGGGTCATTTTTGTCCATTTTGGTCCATTTTGGGTCATTTTGGGTCCATTTTGGTCCATTTTGGGTCCATTTTGGGTCATTTTGGGTCCATTTTGGGTCCATTTTTGTGTCATTTTTGTCCATTTTGGGTCATTTTGGGTCATTTTGGGTCATTTTTGGTCCATTTTGGGTCAATTTTGTGTCATTTTTGTCCATTTTGAGTCAATTTTGGGTCATTTTGGGTCCATTTTGGGTCCATTTTGGGTCCATTTTGGGTCCATTTTGGGTCATTTTGGTCCATTTTGGGTCATTTTTGTTCAATTTTGGGTCAATTTGGGTCCATTTTGAGTCATTTTGAGTCATTTTGGGCCATTTTTGGTCAATTTGAGTCCATTTTTGTGGATTTTGGGTCATTTTGGGTCCATTTTGGGTCCATTTTGGGTCATTTTGGGTCCATTTTGGGTCATTTTGGGTCCATTTTGGGTCCATTTTGGGTCATTTTGAGTCCATTTTGGGTCATTTTGAGTCCATTTTGAGTCCATTTTGGGTCATTTTGGTCCAATTTTTGTGAATTTTTATCAATTTTGGGTCCTCAAATTCAATTTTGGGCTCAAAAATTCAATTTTTGGGTCATTTTGGGTCTTTTTTTTCCCTTTCCAGGCAGGGCCTCCCCCCGAGCCCTTCGGGGCCGGGACCCCTTCGGGACCTCCCGGATTGGAGCTTCAGTGGTGAGGAATTTTGGGGCAAAATCGGGGGATTTTGGGAAATTTGGGGAAATTTTGGGGGGATTTGGGGGATTTTTAGGATTTTGGGTTCAATTTGGGGGATTTTGGGGGAATTTTGGGGAATTTTGGGGGGTTTTGGGGGTGAAAATGGGGAATAAATTGAATTTTTGGGGGGATTTTGGGGGGTTTTTGGGGTGAAAATGGGGAATAAATTGAATTTTTGGGTGATTTTGGGTCCATTTTGGGTTCATTTTTGGGGGTTTTGGGGGAGAAAATGGGGAATAAATTGAATTTTGGGGATTTTTTTGGGGATTTTTTGGGGGGAATTTTGGGGATTTTGGGAATTTTGGGGATTTTGGGGATTTTGGGCAAATTTTGGGGGGTTTTGGGGGGTTTGGGGGAGAAAATGGGGAATAAATTGAATTTTTGGGGTTTTTTGGGATTTTTGGGGGAATTTTGGGGATTTTGGGTTCAATTTGGGGGATTTTGGGGGAAATTTTGGGAAGAATTTTGGAGGATTTTTGGGGAAAATCGGGGGATTTTGGGGAAATTTGGGGGAAATTTGGGAATTTTGACGATTTTGGGTTTAATTTGAGTGGATTTGGGTCCATTTTGGGTTCATTTTTGGGGGTTTTGGGGGTGAAAATGGGGAATAAATTTAATTTTGGGGGTTTTGGGGGAATTTTGGGTCCATTTTGGGTTCATTTAGGGTTTGGGGGAAAATGGGAGAAATTGAAATTTTGGGAGATTTTGGGGGAATTTTTGGGGGATTTTAGGGGGGAATTTTGGAGGGAATTTTGGGGATTTTTGGGAATTTTGGGGATTTTGGGGAATTTTGGGGGAATTTTGGGGATTTTGGAGTTTTGGGGTTTAGTTTTGGGGGAAATTTTGGGGTTTTGGGGTGAATTTTGGGGATTTTTAAATTTTGGGGGGGATTTTGGGGGATTTGGGGTGAATTTGGGGAATTTGAGTTTTGGAGGATTTGGGGGTGAATTTTGGGGAATAATTTGGGGGAATTTTGGGGGGATTTTGGGGATTTTGGGGGATTTTGTGGGAATTTTGGGGATTTTGGGAATTTTGGGAGGATTTTGGGGGAGATTTTGGGGAATATTGGAATTTTGGAGATTTTTGGGGGATTTTTGGGAGATTTTGGGGGTTTGGGGATTTTGGGGCGATTTATGGGATTTTGGGGATTTTGGATTTGGGGGATTTTGGGGGGAATTTGGGAGAATTAAATTGGGGTTTGGGGAGTTTTGGAGGTTTGGGAATTTGGGGATGATTTTGGGGGAATTTTGGGGATTTTGGGGATTTTGGGAATTTTGGAGGTTTTGGGGATTTGGGGGGAAATTGGGAATAAATTGAATTTTTGGGGGATTTGGGGATTTTGGGGATTTTTAGGAATTCGGGAATTTTGAGGAATTTGGGGGATTTTGGGGGAATTTTGGGGGAATTTTGAGGGATTTTGGGGAGAATTTGGGGGATTTTGGGGAATTTTGGGGGGGATTTTGGGGAGTTTTGGGAGGATTTTGGGTGTTGAATTTTGGGGAGTTTAGGGGCATTTTGGGAGAATTTTTGGGGGCATTTTGGGGAGAAATTTGGGGATATGGATTGAATTTGGGGGATTTTAGGGGGGAATTTTGGGAGATTTTGGGGTAATTGAATTTGGGATTTTGGGGGATTAGTAATTGGGGGAATTTAGGGGATTTTGGGGAATTTGGGGGATTTTGGGGATTTTGGGGAGAAAATGGGGAATAAATTGAATTTGGGGATTTTTGGGGGGATTTTGGGGATTTTGGGGGAATTTGGGAATTTTTAGGGATTTTGGTTGATTTTGGGTTCATTTTTGGGGATTTTGGGGGTGAAAATGGGGAATAAATTGAATTTTTGAGGGATTTTTGAGGGGTTTTTGGGGCCATTTTGGTGAATTTTGGGAGTGAATTTGGGCACATTTTGGGGTCATTTGGGTGAGCAAATTGTGAATAAATTTGAATTCTTGGTGGATTTTTGGGGAATTTGGGGAATTTTGGTATTTGGGTCCATTTTGGGTCCATTTCGGGGTATTTGGGGAGGAAATGGGGAATAAATTGACCATTTTGGGGCCATTTTTGTGGGGCAATTTGGGAATTTTGGGATTTTGGGGGATTTTGGGTGGCCATTTTGGGTCCATTTTGGGTCCATTTTGGGTCCGTTTTGGAGGAGAATATGGGGAATAAATTTTGGGTCAATTTTGGGGCATTTTGGGTCATTTTGGGTCCATTTTGGGTCATTTTGGGTCATTTTGGGTCCATTTTGGGTGATTTGGTGCCATTTTTGTCAATTTTGACTCAATTTTGGGTCATTTTGGGTCATTTTTGTCCATTTTGGGCCATTTTTTTCAAATTTCCTGTCAATTTTGGGTGTATTTAGGTCCATTTTGGGTCCATTTTTGTCCATTTTTGTCCATTTTGGGTCATTTTTGGTCATTTTTGTCCATTTTGGGTCCATTTTGGGTCCATTTTGGGTCCATTTTAGGTCAATTTTTATGATTTTGGGTGAATTTTGGGTGAATTTGGGTCCATTTTGGGTCATTTTGGGTCAATTTTTGTCCATTTTTGGTTCATTTTTGTCCATTTTGGGTCATTTTGGGTCCATTTTTTGTCAATTTTGGGTCCATTTTGGGTCCATTTTGGGTCCATTTTGGGTCATTTTGGGTCATTTTTGTCCATTTTGGGTCATTTTTGTCCATTTTGGGTCATTTTGGGTGAATTTTGGGTGAATTTTGGGTGAATTTTGGGTGATTTTGGGGTCTCTCCCTCCCCCAGACGAGCCGCCCCTCCCCCCCCTGGAGGGGCCACCTGAGGAGGCTCCGGGAGAGCCACGAGCTGATGGTGAGACCAGTTTGGACCAGTATGGACCAGTACAGACCAGTACAGACCAGTATAGACCAGTAACACCCCCCAGGGACCCCCCAGTAACTCCCAGTAACTCCCAGTGACCCCCAGACCCCAAACCAGTAACTCCCAGTGACCCCCAGAGCCCAAACCAGTAACTCCCAGTATAAACCAGTAACTCCCAGTGACCCCCAGTAACTCCCAGTGACTCCCAGTATAACCCAGACCCCAAACCAGTAACTCCCAGTGAGACCAGTATAGACCAGTATAGACCAGTATAGACCAATAACCCACCCCAGGGACCCCCCAGTAACTCCCAGTCCCTCCCAGTAACTCCCAGTGATCCCCAGAGCCCAAACCAGTAACTCCCAGTAACTCCCAGTGAGACCAGTTTGGACCAGTATAGACCAGTAGAGACCAGTAACCCCCAGGGACCCCCCAGTAACTCCCAGTATAAACCAGTAGCTCCCAGTAACTCCTAGTGACCCCCAGAGCCCAAACCAGTAACTCCCAGTATAAACCAGTAACCCCCAAACCCCCTCCCAGTCCCCTCCCAGTCCCTCCCAGTAACTCCCAGTAGCTCCCAGTGACTCCCAGTGACCCCCAGAGCCCAAACCAGTAACTCCCAGTATAAACCAGTAACCCCCAATCCCCTCCCAGTCCTCCCAGTCCCCCAGTGCCCTCCCAGTACAAACCAGTGCCCCCAACTCCTCCCAGTGCCCCCCAATGCCCTCCCAGTGCTCCAATGCCCTCCCAGTCCCTCCCAGTATAAGCCAGTAACCCCAATCCCCCTCACAGTCCCTCCCAGTCCCTCCCAGTATAAACCAGTAACCCCCAAATCCCTCACAGTCCCCCCCAGTGCCCTCCCAGTGACTCCCAGTGCTCCCAGTTCAGGCTCAGGACCCTCCCAGTGCCCTCCCAGTATAAACCAGTGACCCCCAATCCCCTTCCAGTCCCCCCCAATCCTCTCCCAGTCCCTCCCAGTTTATCCCAATCCCCTCCCAGTCCCTCCCAGTGCCCTCCCAGTGACTCCCAGTATAAACCAGTTCAGGCTCAGGACCCTCACTGGTTCCGTCGACTCCGCCCGGCACCGCGGGGTGGGGAGGTCGACCCAGAGCCCCTGCGGCCCAGGGCTCCCAGTATGGACCAGCTGCAGTGACCAGTGGATGGACCAGCACGGACCAGTGCGGACTAGTGACGGACCAGTATGGGACCTGAGTAGGGACCAGTACGGGAGCCAGTGAGGCCGTGGGGGGGCACTGGGAGGGACTGGGAGGGGACTGGAAGTGACTGGGAGGGACTGGGAGGGGATTGGGGGTCACTGGTTTATACTGGGATGAACTGGGAGGGGGTTTGGAGGTTACTGGTTTATACTGGGAGGGGGTTTAAGGGTTACTGGGATGAACTGGGAGGGACTGAGAGGGCACTAGGAGAGACTGGGAGAGGGTTTGGGGGTTACTGGTTTGTACTGGGAGGGACTGAGAAGGTATTTGGGGGTCACTGGTTTATACTGGGAGGGACTGGGATGAACTGGGAGGGGGTTTGGGAGTTACTGGTTTGTACTGGGAGGGACTGGGAGGGGATTGAGGGGCACTGGGAGGGACTGGGAGGGACTGGGAGGGGTTTGAGGGTTACTGGTTTATACTGGGATGAACTGGGCTGAACTGGGAGGGGGTTTGGGGGTTACTGGTTTGTACTGGGATGAACTGGGAGGGGATTGGGGGGCACTGGGAGGGACTGGGAGGGGTACTGGGAGGTTACTGGTTTGTACTGGGATGAACTGGGAGGGGATTGGGGGCACTGGGAGGGGACTGGGGAGGATTGGGGTCACTGGTTTATACTGGGAGGGGATTTGGGGGTTACTGGGATGGGCTGGGAGGGACTGGGAAGGTGTTTGGGGGTCACTGGTTTATACTGGGAGGGACTGGGATGAACTGGGAGGGGGTTTGGGGGTTACTGGTTTATACTGGGAGGGACTGGGAGGGCACTGGGAGGGAGTTTAGGGGTTACTGGTTTATACTGGGAGGGACTGGGAGGGACTGGGAGGGGGTTTAGGGGTTACTGGGATGAACTGGGAGGGCACTGGGAGGCACTGGGAGGGACTGGGAGGGGATTGGGGGTCACTGGTTTATACTGGGAGGGCACTGGGGGTTACTGGGTATACTGGGATGAACTGGGGAGGGATTTGGA